GTATTCCATGGTGTACATATACCACAGTTTGTTGATCCATTCGTGGATCGATGGGCACTTGGGCTTCTTCCATGACCTGACAATTATGAATTGGGCTGCAATAAACATTATTAGTATTGATTTTTAATCTATTTCTATTGTGGCTACTCTGTAAAATTACTGTGCTTTTAAATTTTTTGAAATTTGTCATGCGGCCCATCATACAGTTTTGGTGTACATCCTACATGTACCTGAAAATAACTTGTATTTTGCAACTATTGGGTAAAATACTCTTAAATTTTTTTTATTAAATCATAACTGTGTACATTAATGCAATCATGGGGTACAGTTTGGTGTTTTCATATACAATTTGAATTATTTTTATCAAACTGGTTGACATAGCCTTCATGTCATTTTCTTAGTTATTGTGTTAAGACGTTTATATTCTACTTTTAGAAAGAGTCATTTGTACCCTAATAAGATAAACCATAGAGGTGATCCCACCAGTCACCCTCCTTCCACCCAACCACTCCCCTCCGCACCCCTCTCCCCATATTCTTAGGCTGTAATTAGATTATAGCTTTCATATGAAAACTGTAAATTAGTTTCATAATAGTACTGGGTACATTGGATACTTTTTCTTCTATTCTTGAGATACTTAGCTAAGAAGAACATTTACCAGCTCTATCTATGTAAACATGAAGGAGGTAAAGTCTCCATCTTTCTTTAGGGCTGCATAATATTCCATGGTGTACATGTGCCACAATTTATTGATCCATTCGTGGGTCGATACGCACTTGGGCTTTTTCCATGACCAAGCAATTATGAATTGGGCTGCAATAAACATTCTGATACAAATATCTTTGTTGTAATATGATTTTTGGTGTTCTGGATATATACCTAACAAAGGAATTGTAGGATTAAATAGCAGGTCTATTTTTAGTTCTCTAAGTGTTCTCTAGACGTCTTTCCAAAAGGAACGTATTAGTTTCCATTCCCACCAGCAGTGTAGAAGTGTTCTCTTTTCTCCACATCCATGCCTACATCTCTGGTTTTGGGATTTTGTGATATGGGCTAATCTTACTGGAGTTAGGTGGTATCTCAAAGTAGTTTTGATTTGCATTTCTCTGATGATTAAGGATGGTGAGCATTTTTTCATATATCTGTAGGCCATGTGCCTATCTTCTTTTTTTCTTTCTTTTATTTTTTTTTTGTGCCTATCTTCTTTAGAGAAATTTCTTTTCAAATCTCTTGCCCACCAAAACTGTTAAATATTAATATTAATTACATTGTTGTGGTTGATAGAGTTCAAATCTTCTGTGTCTTCAATTTTTTTGGTTTAGTATTTCTATCAGTTGCTTAAGAGTGAGAGATGTTAAAAATCTCCCAATATGATTATAGATTTTTGTTTCTACTTTGCTTCATATATTTTCAGACTGTTTGAAACATACATAATTGCACATACATAATTATGATTATTTTATCTTTTTATGCACATACATAATTATGATTATTCCATCTTTGT